TTATATTCTCGTTTTTTCTCACTTTTGTTTTAATTTTTGTTCTTCGACGTTTATTGTTTTTACTTTAGTTTCCTCAAAGTAAAAAAATAAATAAAAATAAGTGCTAAAAGTATCGATATCAGTAAGTATCGATACTTTAGGAGTATTTATTTAAGTAGTATCGATAAAAGATTTGAGTACTATCGAAAGAGTAGGTATCGATACCTTGATGGTATCGGAACATCCCTACTTACGGGCACTCGCACTGGACGGTTGACAGTAGAATGTTTTTTTTTTTTAATTTATTCAGCTTTGGCTCCTGGGCCATCAGCAAAAAAGAATTACTACAATGGTATTCTAGAGGCTTACATAGGTAATATTACAAATTTTGTTATAAATTTACAGATAAAACAAAAACATAACATCCAGAAGAATACAATGAGAAATAACAAAAGAAAAATATATATACTCCACAAATTAACAACAACAAAAAAAACAACTTAAATTTGACCAAAAGTATTTACAATAAAATTATAAATATGATAATACGTCTTAATATTGGTAAGCAATTTTTGGGCAGAGTTCGGAATATCATTTTCAAAAATTTCAGTAAATTCTGTTATCAGTAATAAACGCTGTATTGAAAATTTTGGGCATATAAATAAAATATGGTCAATATCACAAAAAAGTGAACCACAGTGAGGACAACTAGCATCCTCCCTGAGCTTTAGACGATGTAAGTGGGACGGAATTCGGCTGTGACCAATTCTTAAGCGACTCAAAGTGGTGATGAAACTTCTACCCAAAAATTTTGTATGTTTCTCAAACCATGCGTTAGTACATGGAATGGGAACAATTTGCTCTAACCATTTTCCTTTGATCAATCTACTGGAAGAGAGCAAAGCAATCCAACGTTTTACCATATTTTCTTTGACAAACAAAAGTAAGTCAGATACAGGAACTTTGTAATCACAAATAGCTAGATTTATAGTGGACTTGGCAAGGGTGTCAACTAATTCATTACCAAATATGCCAGAATGACCTGGAACCCAAGCGAATTCTATATTTACATCAAAGTTATTCAGACTGCTAACACAATTTTTTATTTCATGAATTAAGTAGTTGTCAGATGCATTGAAACATTTCTTTGAAATAGCTTGTAGGACACTCATAGAATCAGATAACAACAATACATTTTTGTAAATATGGCGACAATTGTTCAATATGTATTTTAAGGCAAATAATATAGCTAAAGCTTCAGAAGAAAAAACAGAGAAATAATTATTACATCCAAATACTTTTCCTATTTTCTTACATGCATCGTAAAAAGCAAAACTAGTTCTTTCACTGGTTTCAGAGCCGTCAGTTGACAGTAGAATGGCGCGAAAAAAATTCCGTGCGTAGACACTTCAGATTGTGGACTCTTTGTCAGTGTTGCCAACTCGGATTTTGAAAAACAGGCCCGATGAGAAAATTACGTAGAATTGGTAAGTTTTGCATATGAAAAGTACGTAGATCTACGTACCTTATTCTGAGTGAAATGAAGAAGTTAGGTGAAACCGAATAAAACGAGTATTTTGTTATACAATTTGTTTAAGAACGGGAGATAGAACAAAGAGTTCTTGGGGAAGTCGCTGCATTGGAAGCATTTACCATGCTGTGGTAGGGTACGGCCAGAGTGCACTCAGATTCAGATTCAGATTCAGACTCAGAAAACAAGCGCGAGAAATATACAGTGTAGTTTAAGCAGGTTGCCTGCGGCCACTATGGCCACTATGCTTTAACTACACTGTTTATTTCTCGCGCTCGTTTTCTGAGTCTGAATCTGAATCTGAATCTGAGTGCACTCTGGCCGTACCCGTAGACATTAACCATCAGACACAGACACTGGTGGGTGTCGATGCTGGATGGTTCTCTAAATTTAAAACTAAATTTAACATCAATCTCTCTTTTTAATTCTGTATAGAGAATGACAAGGATAAACTGTTGTTAAATGGGCTAGTTGACACTTTTTGGAATTATGTTTTATATTGTTATAATAATTGTTCAATCAGACCGAAAAAAAATGTATTTTTTTTTACCTAGAAGACATACAAAAACGCTGTATAGTCTGTAGACCTATCTATGCTATGACGTCCAAACATTTGTAAACAAACACTTGCAAGCACGTAGGAAATAAACTTTCTAAGTTAATATTATAAAACCATGATTTCGAATAGATCACATGAAAAATATAGTGGTTATCATGATACCCTTGGTAAAAGACTCCAGAAAAGTTGTGGTTTAAATTGCCAAGAGAAATAAACATACTTACACATGAACATAATATGTTTAAAACTTGCTAAATCCTGTAACATTATCGACTGAAAGTCATTTCTTTTTGCAAAGATCAATTCGATGTGAATAGGTACTCATTGATAATATTTCAAGTTAAAAATAAAAATTTTAAGGTTCTGAACGTACCTACTAAGTCAAAGAGTTTTGTCGTTTCTGCTTTCACAAATCCTGCGTCCAGCATTAATTTAGTCAACAAAACCAATAACGGGAACCTTTTCTACAAAATACAAGAGTGTTTAGATACATCTTTATAAGAAATAAACATTTGTATAGTTTATAAGTAAAGTGACGGAAAATATTCTTCTTTATTCTAGTGAATTAAGTTATTTTACAAATTTGAAAAATAATAAGAAAATACGTAGATTCTGGTACTGAAGTTAGTAGGTTTCCAGAAAAGGCCTAAAATACGTAGTAGATCTACGTAAAAAGACGTAGAGTTGGCAGCACTGCTCTTTGTTCACTGTTTGTCGTGTGGTTGGTTAATCGTTGTCGTTCATTCGTAGCTCTATAACTTATCTGTGTTATAGTGAAAACCGTATACGAAAATACGTCTTAGCACAGAAGTTACAAAGAAGAGAGTCGAGAGCATCATATGATGCTCCCAGCGAGCATCATTGCTAGCGGTCGTGTACGGTTTGTAAGCGCGCGCATCATAATTATGATGCTTACGGCGTTTAAGAGGTTTTCAATCCTGGTAAAGCGAGCGTACAAAGATTTCTATTGTACTTATAAGCCAGAAACCTAATAACTTGTCGTGTAGACGCTCTCACCTCTCCTCTAAATGTATGAAACCGATGTGCTTCTTCGTCACGACACGACACGACGACCACCACCGTCTCAATATGTCACGGGTAAGTATTAATTAAATTAATTTTATTTACTTGAAGAGAGGTAGGTACACAATATAACGCAGTCGGGTAAAAAGAGGTAGGACATGATGGATTTTTCAATCGCATTGGAGCCTATTGGAGCACTCGTCTGGGTCCCTGGGGAACTAACCTCCAACATTTAGTTTTGCCTTTGTTTTACATAAATTAATAAATCGTAACAAAAACGCGACTATTTTTTTTTGTTTCATGACACGAGATTTGTGAACTTACCTTATCTTGTGGAGGCCATACACGCTAGGGTTTGCATGATGGTTATGAATGTACATGCATAACCGACATGCAAACCCTAGCGTGTATGTGATAAAACTGTACAGTTATCGGTGCATGTACATGCAACCGAACAAATATCAAAATTTATATTTTATGCCGCTCGGTTATGCATGCGCGAGCATAACCGAGCGTGTGTAGGGACACGAAAAAAGGAACGATACAATGTGGTATCGAGTACTTTTCATTTCGATACCGATACTTTTGTACTCGATACTTGGTTTTCGATACTTCAACTAAATGAGTACCTTTTGGCAAGTATCGATACCTTTAAAAATTTGGATAAGCGCCTTATATTGATGGCAACGCCATCTAGTGGAATCAAAGCAAACCTTCTAAAACATTCCATTGCGTTGATATAATTGGAACCACATAAAGCCTATATGAAATGTACTCGATACTTCGAAGTATCGATACTTTTGTTTCAATACTTTTACGAGTACGATACTTATTTTCCGATACTACTCATGAGTACAGTATCGATACTTTCTATTCGATATCGTGTTCCTAAGCGTGTGTGGCGTCCGGCGAGCTTGCCTGTCACAGTTCTCAGTTTTTAATTGTTGCGACGGCGGAAGGTCCGAGCACCATCGCGTCGTTTCGAAAATGGCTAGTCGCAAGCGCAGTGCAACATTAGAAGAATTTATAGAAAGTTATAAGTCGGAACCTTGTCTTTGGCGTAAAGTGCAAAGAATACCAGAGATTGATAACTAAGGTCAAGGAATTAGTGCCCACAGCTACGAAAGAAGATGTGATTAAAAAATATATTCCATTCACAGTACTTAATAGGCGTTCTAAACACACCGTCACGTAGCTCAACTGAGAGTAATGGCAAAACTGTACATGCAAACCCTAACGATACACGTTAGGGTTTGCATGTACAACTCGGTTATGCATGTCGGTTATGCATGTACATGCATAACCATCATGCAAAACCTAGTGTGTATGGCCTCCACTAGCCTCTCAGCCTCCCTTTTGTCTATCTTACTTCTGTCTATATCATTAATATTATTGAACTGTCATATAAAGCGCCAAGCCATAAAGTATAAGTATTCATGTATTATTTTTGTGGTAAAACGACAGTGTTCATCTAATCACACTTTTTTGCTTGAGAATAAGAACTATCTATGGTTGTTTGCTGTCCTTTTAATTTAACATAAAAAAATCTTTACAAAATTCTTTAATAATAAATAAGAATGATTTCATATTTTTAGTGGTTTCGCTTTTAAGATGTTGATTAATATTTATTTAATTCGGTCGAGCCGTTTCGGAGTAGTTCAATTACGCACACAGTGACACGAGAATTTTATATAATTAGATATACCTAGTCAGTCACATGTTTAATATAAAATAATTGAAACAAGTTTATTCATTATGTAACCATTTATATACCAAAATCAACTTAAGAAAACATAGATTCTTATGACAATAAAGTTTATTCAAAATGACCTAAGTGATTTTGAACAGGCCTTCAATCTGCGCGGCCAGTCGTCTATCGCAGCACGAACGAGGTCCATGTCAATATCGGAGATGAGGCTTTGAGCACGCCTTTTCGTCCAAGTGTTGCCATATCTTGTAATCAAATCTGGACTGGAGAAGGGACAGTCTTCGTGCCGGATGAAGTCGATTTCACGCGCCGCCAGCCAGTCTTGTGTGCTCTTCCCTCTATGAGCTGGCGCCGAATCTTGTTGGAATATCCAGTGCCTGTTTTTGAACATGGTATGATAAACAGATTCCACAAGGTTCGTCAGGACTGTATTTTGATACACAACTGCATTCGTTTTTACACCTTTCTCACAGAAATGTACCTCTGTTAAGCCCCAATAAGAAACTCCCAACCATACCATGAGCGAGGATGGAAAATGACCTCGTTGGACACGCGGAATACGGTTGTTCGCTTTATCACTACTGTGTGCGTACACCTTATCATTTTGTTTGTTGTAGCTCTCTTGTACTGTAAAAAAAATCCATACGAAAAAAGATTTTCCCGATATTTTTTTCCTGCGTACCGCTTCAACAAAGCGCGGCATCTCTTCAGTCTCAGGTCCATTAGACAAGCATTCAAACGATATCCTGTTTTTCTTCGATATGCCCGAAGCCCTAAGTCTTTATTTAACACCCTTTTCACCGTGGTTCTGCTTAACCCCATTTGAAGGGCCAACAGTTTCTGCTTACGTTTGGTATTTCTTTGAATTCGCGCCTTCACAGCTTTTATCACTGCTGCCCCTCTAGCATGACCACCGAAACGGGATATGATAAAGTTATATATCGACATTAACTGTCAGACTACTGTCAAACTCCATAGTAGTCTGACAGTTAATGCCGATATATCGCTTTATCATATCCCGTTTCAGTGGTCATGCTAGGGGGCTGGAGTCCTAACAGACCGAGGGCAACCAATTCTTGACCTGTCATCTACACTAGAGTCTTCATTGTATCGTTTGATGGTACGATAAACGAATCTTTTGGTTATATTAAAATTTTTCAGTATGTTAAAAATTGGAATTGGCGCGTAACCGCAACAATGCAACGCAATAACTGCAACACGGCCTTTTTTAAGCGTCCACTCCATATTTAAAAATGAGTAAAATTCTAATAAGTATACATTTTTATTTTCATGAACAATTCGAAATTCGAATTCAATAAACTTTTTTGTGGCCAGCATTCTAAAAGAAAAGTTTTTACTGTGTGACAATACTTATGACTTGTCTAGGTATATATAGTAATAGATCGCTTACAACTAACTGCATCGAGTAACGCACACGAGCAACGGTTTAAAAATACCCCGGACAAAAAGTCCCCCAAACTACCGCGGACACTAAGGGATCGGACAGGACAAAAGTACGCTAGAGTCCGCGAAAAAATAGAACATTTATTATGTGATTCGGCGGACTTTAATTCGCGGCTCGCGGCGACAATGGCGAAATATTTGTCGAAGGAATTCTTTAGCGTCTATAGATTTCATCATCAGAAATGCAAATATAATAATCTAAACGGATTTATCAAATAATTGAGGAGGGTTGTCTAAATCTGAAATTAAAAACATCCATGTACGGAAACACAATTGAGTATTTTTTAAGTAGGTATTCCCATTTTTTTATTGTAGATTAGTGTCATGTCTTCTGAGCCTACTGTTTAAGGTGATTTCAGTGATGTTGTTCGTATATTTTGCATCGCTTTACGCTTAAGCTGTATTAAGTTATCTTTCAGAAAGATCGTGTAACATTGTTATAATTCAAAATAAAAGTGAAAGCATAATAAATAATTTCCACAGTGCAAATAAATAGATCAATCTGGTATAAAGGGATGGACCCAGTGTTCTCTTTTAAAACATCTTCTTTTTTCTTAAACTTCATGTTTAATACAATACATACAACGTTATCCCAGGATGTTGCTTCCATAGCGTGCGCCTCACTTTTCGCGGGGCAAATATCCGCACACCGTGGTCCGTGACATTTTTTTATAATACGGGGACGAAAGTACTCCGCGAACAAAAGTCCGTCGCCTGCGCAGGCTATTATACTCTCCATATTGAGAAATATGCCTTCATAAACATAACATAATTCATACAAGTGGCATATTAAATTGAACAATAATCGTATACGTAATCACCAACCAGAACTTGCTTCTTATCTCAGTCAGTAGTACGTGAATGAGATAACCAATTGTAGGCCTTCGTGCTTCGAATGTCGAATGAAAACCAGTATTTAGAACGGTCGTCCGTGGCGCAGACGCACTGCACGCACGCGTACTCGCTATTCCAAATAGAAAACTCAAAACAATGTTCCCATTGCGACGCGTTGGCAGTAAGGTGTGTTGTGTGCTTGTGTGATTAGTTTCGGAATAAAAAAAATGCGAAATTCAAAATAAGAATAGGGAATCCTTGGTTGGTACTATTGGATGTCATAAACAAAATGAGTTTTGCCGCGGTTTTTCAGGTTTTGGAGCAATGGCGGTCACCCATCGCCGCCGGCGCCACTGCCTCTGCCCACAGGAAAGGTTACAGTTCAGAAGCGCCACGTCCCTTGACCTTGCTAACGGAAGATGAACTTGCAATGAAGGAGACTAGTAAGTTATTTTTTCATACATTATTTAAGAATTAAGATTATATTTTAACGGCTTGATATTTATAAAAGAAATTCACTAAAAAATTGAGCCTCAGTACAGAGGCAGTCACTTAATATTTTGAATATCTTTTGATATAAGTGACCTTGTAACGATATTTATTCTATGATTTTGCTATGACCCCCTTCTTATCACACGGCGTGTGATAATAGCGTATACGTAATCGATAATCCCATAGCGCGTTAAAAAAACATGTTTTGTTCGCATTTTAAAGTGGAATAGTCAATAAAAGTATACATTTTAAATTAAATAAGGCACAATTTATCGTAATGTTGATCGACGTTAGTTATTTAATAGACGGACCATGGCTGTAACCTTTTTTTTAAAATGTAGGTTTCAAAATTAAAATTTCATATTTTTTTTATTCAATAAACATGATACACTCGCTCTGTTACCTACCGTGAAGTTAGTTATTTAAAAGCCGGACCATGGCTGTGACCGTTTTTTTTAAATGGAGGTTTCAAAATAAAAATTTCAGCAGTTTAATGTTTTTTTATTCAATAAACATGATACACTCGCACTACGTTGCCTACTGTGACTCCTTTTTTTTTAAACCCTCTACGCTGTTAATTGCGCTACCGCGAGATCCCCGTTGAGGGACTTCACCATGACTGGACTATGTCTGTGACCATGGCTCTCTTGGCACTTAGGGTAAAATATGGCCCTGGAAAATAATATTCACTGCACATAATAATCAGGGCTCTGCCTTGCAGACCAGCCGGCCTATTCACTAACTTCTTTTTATATTTACAGTGATGTCGATTCTGGCATGATTCTCTAAAGCTAAACTTAAATTTGACAACAGTGCATCCCTATGATTCTCTATATACAGAATGAAAAGGTGATACTGATGTTAAATTTAGTTTTTAGTTTAGAGAATCACGCCAGAATCGACACCAGTGTGTAATTAAAGAGAAAATTGCATAACCATCGATGCTCTTCAGAACAAGTATCTCACTGGCGTTACAATAAAGCAGTAATGGATCACTAAATAACTCGATGATACTTCCATCTGTTAAAAGCAGTCAGCGTATAGGCCTTTCAGACAGCCACAGAGGATACGCAACGCGAATACGCGAGGGACACTTACACACGTACAAGCTTTTAAAGGAATTTAATTCGCTTCTATAGATCTTTAAAGACAAGTCTGTATTCGTGTAAAGGCTTGGCTTTTAAATGCCTACAGACTGCCTACTTAAGATAAAAAAAAAACACTTTTCAACAGGTTAGATGCACTGATTTTATTGATTTATCATCCTTCGCAGGAATGCATCGTCGGAATAATCCTGCAAAGGATGCGAAGAAAAGAAAAGAAATGTCAATAAATAAATAAAATCAGTGCATCTAATCCGTTGAAACTTGTTTTGTTTAATGAGTGATGTGCGTGAAAACCTAAGAAACAAATATATTTAAGATTAAATTTCATTCTCGCGGTATTGTTTGATTTTCGAAGTACCTATACGTCGCCATCTAGTCTACTTAGAAAAGATAATTGCAAGTCAATTGAGCAGCATACCGCGTCCGTATTGCTAGTAATGATGAAATATAAAATACTGTTGGATGACATGCTCGGCCTACATCTTGCTTGATAGATAAGAAGTATTTACTATAGTATTAAAACACATTATCAAAGTAATAGAGTTGATTGTAGAAGCCGCATTCATAATGTATTTAGTAAACAGAAGGCCAACTTCAGTTCATAGGTCGTTACATAAGATCTCCAGAGATTTTTTTGCGTCTAACAAAAGTTTTCTTACGATGCATTACAGTTTGTGATTTCAGAAGATATTCATAAACTTCTAACACTATTCACTTATTTAAGTTAATCAGTAGTCAGTCAAATAGAAATGCTAAATTGAAATGGCACTCACCAGTTGGAGCAGCAGTAAAACAGAACCCTATCAGCCAATTATGTATAATTTCAAACATCATAGTTATCAACGGACAGTACAAAGTTAAAACTATTGTAGATGGAAATTGGCTAGCGAACCTTTTCATACCTTCATTCTTTACATACATTTTTATACTTGTCAGTCCTATTCTGATTGTAGGATATAAAGTTGATAGTAGAGGAACACAAGCGGGGATTTTCGGATTAACGAAAGATGAAGAAACGTTACTTGAACCCTCCAGTAGCCCCAATTCAAAAGACTGACGATTCGGCCGCGAAGAAAAGTCATGGCCGCTTGTTGAATTTTGAAGTGAAAACTTCTCTAGCATCGTTGTGATTTGAGATTCGATGAAACGGAAGTAGAGTATATGACACAAGATCATCATCATCAGCCTATTAATGTCCCCACTGCTGGGGCACAGGCCTTCCCTATGGATGAAATAGGGAGATTGGGCCTTGACCCACCACGCGGGCCCAGTGCGTGTTGGCGAGTGCTAACGACTGCAGATGCAGCCGGGACCAACAGCTTAACGTGCCTTCCGAAGCACGGAGGAACTCGAGATAGTAAATTTTTGGTCACCCATCCAATGACTGACCACTGCGAAAGTTCATTAACTTCAACGATCGCAGCCGAACGCGCTAACCACTTGCGCCATCGAGCTGCTCGCACAAGATAGGTATCCGTAATTTTGTCAGAAGATAGTTATCCGTAATTTTGTCATTTACCATAACAGACGCATAGCCAAACGGTAACGATCTTGGGGTCGAATCAACTGATCGATCCTGAGCTCGGTAATTTCCGAAGTGGAAACTTCTTTAGTATAGTTGTGATTGAGATTCGATGAAACGGAAGTTGAGTATTTAACACAAGATAAAGAAAATATTACTAGAAAAAATTCCACGCGGACCAGGCAGCACACATGACTCGAACCCGTACACTTCACTATTCGGGCGATACTGAACAATTATGCTACCTCATCCTTAAAACCAAGATTTAAGTCGATATAGTTATTGGAGCAGGATAAATTTTTGAACTACCCCACATAAGTATTTTATTTATTTTGCGGCTGAAAAAGCAAAAGCAAGCAAATACAGGGGTCTAGGCTCCGAGTATGATTTTGTCCCATTCGGTGTCGAGACCCTTGGCCCGTGAAGTCCTAGCGCTTTAAGGCTATTTAAGGAAATAGAAAAAAGGTTAGTCGACATCACAGGAGACCGAAGAGCTGGCAGCTACCTCGGACAAAGAATTAGTCTAGCCATTCAAAGGGATAACGCTGCAAGTATTTTCGGATCTTTGCCTAAAGGGCAAACTTCTTTTAATAATATATTTTAGTTATTAATTTTATTTTTTAAGGTTTTTAGTTTTAGTTTTATTGTTCTAGAATATATATAGATATATAGAGTAATTATGTACTTAGATTGTTTTCTCATGTAAATGTAATATTAAAGTATTTCTGACAAAGAAATATCGCACACACACACCCCTTGTTGACCCACGCCAAACACAGATAGATACTAGGTATTATACCCAATATATGAACTACATTACATAAGCTTTAAAATTAATTGCGTTCGATTTCGACACGATTTCTCGTCTTTATAACGTTGCAGTTAGGTACATTTTTGTATAACAAACAACCGTATCATTGTCATGCTCCTTACTTGTCATAGGTACTTTATCACTCGTTATCAACACCATCAATGTAATGTCAGTTTATGTAATATTAATTTGTTTTTCTCTATTCTACGTTTATCAATTTATGTTTACAGCTACAAGTCAGCTGATTCAAGTCGAATTAGCTCATTACGACACCTTAAAACTGTTAGGCCTTAATTACAATAAAAATTATTAATTTTTAAATGACTAGCAATCAACCTATCAGCGTCTTGTTTAGCGAGTTTCCGATATTTCGGCGCTGAAAAACAAGGTACATGGTAACAATCCCGTAAATAACTTATATTACTATAATGTTAGTGACCATGAAAGTTTAAAACAACTTATTGAATGACATACCTCCAGTGAGCTTTTGGCATGGTTTTTTAATTCATTTATCAATTTTAACACTGTTTTAGGCGGTTTCGATTGAAAATTATTTTAAGATTCAAATTCAAACGAAAACTCCGGACCGTAAATAAAAAGTAGTTTGACCAGATGCGTAATTATACCGTTTAGTTCACCAGCTCCTCATATCTCATTGTCGAACGTAGTCTTAGTCTTAGTAGTACGGCGGGCTGTTTCCGCAACTCGACACCCACTGCCTATTTTGCGTGGGGATTGGCATCAGTCCTGCCATCCTAGCTCCTCCAGAAAGCTCAGCAGTCCCCGAATGTTGCTGCAGGTCTCTACTATTGTCTTCGGGCTTCCCATTAGAGAGGTCCTTTGTCTTGCAACGCCCCTGCACTCCAGTAGGACATGGGCGCTCGTCTCATCCGCCTCCAGGCAGGCTCTGCGCAGAGGGCTGTCAGAAATACTGTCGAACGTACTATTAGTTAAACTGTAATAATTCGAATATACCGCAACATTGCAATCGAGGATGTAGGTAGATTCACAAAGCACAGAAAGATGTCCTCTTTTTAGCCGACTTCAAAAAAGGAGGAGGTTCTGTTTACGACTATATATTTTGTATGTTCACCCATTTTTCCGTCAATTGTGGACCGATTTCCAAAATTTCTTTTTTTATTCGAAAGTGTGCACTTCCAAGGTCCATTTGAACCAAATCAGGCTCTGATGGTGGAATCCGGGGAAATCGAAGGAAACCTTTCAAATTTCAAAGGCACGATGGTTTTTATGCATGTTCACCGATTTCTCCGTCAATTGTATTATTGTTAACTTGGACGATGTAATTTTCACTAAAATGGATGAAATAAAAAATTTTTAAACAAAAAATAAAACCGACTTCAAAATTGAAAATGCAAATAAAAATAATATCTGGTTCATGATTTGGAAGTCGGGCGGGGTCCAGATTGAAACATTAAATAGATTTTCGTTTCTGATCGGTAATAATACGTCTTTCAATCTTGACCCGCCCGACTTCCAAATCATGAACCAGATATTATTTTCAGTTGCATTTTAGATTTTGAAGTCGGTTTTATTTTTTTGTTTATTTTTTTTATATTCTGCAATCTCACTTACGATCTCATTTATTCGGATTTCATAATGCATATCAAATATATATCTAAAATGGCAGCTACTGAAATTGGAAGTAAGATTTTATTTTATAGAATCGTCCTACTTTGGGTCATTTGTTTTATCAAAACAATTGTTTATTCTATACTATTATCACAATATCAACCCTGACATTGAGATACACACGCCTTTAAGAAGATAACAGAATAACAGTATTCCTCATGCAAGCCGCAAATATCATTATTTCGTTATCAATTTATTTTCAAATTTATTATCGCATGCTTTTATGTATGACATTCTCTATCATGTTACTAAGCAATGTATTGAGAGCTTGCGTGAAACTTCACTTCTTATCATTGCTTTCGATAAGAATTTATATTAATTGAAGTATAATTAAGCACTTTTTTTTGTCAAAACAACGCCGCTTCGCAACTCTTGAACTTGTGGTTGCGTTAAGGTTGAGTTCATTCCTGGTTAAGGCATTTAGAGATAAAGCTTTATTGGATATTAAGTGAGTATTCTTCTCAGCACTCTCTAAAGAAATCGTCAAATTGACAGCTTCATCTAAATTTCTTCAACTTTTCTAATAGTCTTTCTTTGATCTTTTATGACCGCACACAAAAAAAAACAAAAACCAAACTGCATATAAAAACAAATGCAAACAAATTGCACAAATCTACAATTACAAACAAAGCCCAGCCCCACTCACTCCGTATCACCACCATTTTTTAGCTTGTGTGACAGAGTAGGGTCGCTAAAATTCGCTAGGAGTTAAATATAAAAAAGACAAATGCGTTTAAAATAAGCTGCTGTTGCTCATTTGTAAATAAATCATCATTTTTGAAAGTTATTGAAATTACTAATTTTGGTAAGTTTCACGAAACTTTCGTTTCTTACGAAACTTTCGGTAATTTTCAACTCTAGTAACATATCATCTTTTTGTTTTAATCTAAGGTAATAAACCTTCCATACGCTGTTCATGGTGCCGTTAATTTTTCACATTTTAGCAGAAACTTCACGAACTCGCTAGATGTCGTTTAGGCTAGGTTTACTAGAATTATTCGTATCCGTTCCGCTATATGGAAAGTCCTAGTAGATATTTGCCTTTCATATCATTCCTACTACGCTAATTCAATGCGCATTGGTGAATGCCACATAACTATCAACTGTAGTTCATCCGTGTTCAACGGCGTAAAGTTGCTTCCGAAGTATGGAAGGAGTCGCGATCAGTGGCGGATTTGCAGTCTCGGCCGCCCTAGGCCCCAAGCTATCAGCCGCCTCTTTCTCAGCATTCACCATAGACTACATAATGAAATTACTTTATTACCAACTTTTATCTAAATAGATTTAGAAATTTAGGGGAAAAAATGTTTTCTTTCGCAATAATAAGGTACATAAGATGTTACAACTAGTTATTTGCTCAACATATTCTGCCAACTTGGCATACTTGGTCGTAACTTTTACACGAGTGTTTTCAATTTTTAATACTTAACGCTAAATCCTCCGCCAGCTCGCCACTCAACTCCACCCCCGACCACATAACCTACACTCACGACACCCTCGCCTTTAGAGCAATCTCACTTCCGCAATAAGCGAGGCGTCCCGACACGACGCTAGAGAGCTGTTAAGGGCAAAGAACGCTGCCACTCCCAGGGGAGAGGAGACTCCCCCTGTGTTGCGATGCCATCCGCCTGGAATACCTCTAGAGGCACTCTCCAATACTCGGCTTGAGGTCCCTTTAGAATCTCCCCCAATCCCGGTGACGCTGTAAAGGTCATCTGCGACCAACAGAATACACACCCAAAAAAATGTTCGTAACTATTTCAAAAAACTGTCAGCATTGTTCCGATCTTCATTTTATAGTACAGTGAGCACGAAAATGGAGATATTTTCTGAAAAATCATCTTCTAAGTCAATAGAATAAATTATTTGCAATACTCTGGCCTTTTCTTTGATTTCTGACGCGCTTATATTGTCAGATTAGGGTGTTGATTAGGGCCGCCCTAGGCCCGGGCCTACCTGGCCTTAAGGTAAATCCGCCACTAGTCGCGATGATAAATATCTGATATTATCTTTGGCGAATGTTACTTAATATGAGTCATTCTATTTCAGTCAGAAAACTAGCCACAGAACAAATTGGCCCCCTAGTGAAGAAAATGGAGGACGAACATCGCATCGACGACAGCATAAGGCAGTTACTCTTCGATAATGGCGTGAGTTATTGATTCATTCCTGTATAAGCTTACAACATATAATAGCCCTGAAGCGGCTGAAAAAGCAAAAGCAAGCAAATACAGGGGTCTAGGCTCCGAATATGATTTTGTCCCATTCGGTGTCGAGACCCTTGGTCCGTGGGGTCCTAGCGCTTTAAGGCTATTTAAGGAAATAGCAAAAAGGTTAGTCGACATCACAGGAGACCGAAGAGCTGGCAGCTACCTCGGACAAAGAATTAGTCTAGCCATTCAAAGGGGTAACGCTGCCAGTATCTTCGGATCCTTACCTAAACGGGGAGTCCCTTTTTATAATATATTTTAGTTATTAATTTTTTAAGGTTTTTAGTTTTAGTTTTATTGTTCTAGTATTTATATATAGAGTATTTTCTTATATATTAAATGTGATTTTATCTGCGAAAAAATAGTCCTGATACCGTATTCTTTTTTGGATTTTGGATTGAAATTCTGGATAACATGGCAGGTACGCTTATAAAAAGACTTGCTATTTACCTTTGAAGCCGAACTGAAACGTCCGCCTCAGAAGTATTTTTACTACCATACAAGTATTCTTTCGCTGTCAACTGGATACAACCAAATAACATTGAATAAAATGGAATCAGGTCAGGGTCCTCACTCCCATACAGGGATTCTAAATATTATGATTTGTTTACAAAGACGAATCTTCTGGAATGATGACCAAGTTTGCTCAAAACTCACTTAATAATTCTTGCGCTAATTTGATAGCCGTGAGAAAATAAAGCTGTAGATACTAAAATATTCGGGTGAGCCAACACCATTTTGAGTCAAATAATAAAAACAATTCAGATACCTATAATTTGGAGTTGGCAAATTGTTGTTTTTCTTGCCATGAACTACTGTACCCCTAGCACGAACCATTATCGAATTCGAATAGTTTGCAAACCGAAATGTCAATGTCAAATTTTGTATGGAAACTTGAACAGCAGCGCCACAAAGTACGTAACGGCAACTAAAAATCAGTACACATTTGACAATAACATTTCGGACTCGCAAACGATACGAATTCGATATTTGTTCGTGCTAGGGGTACTGATAGCTAAATTTCGATAACTAGAACTACTAATGCAAAGCTCTAAAGCTCTAAAGGGTCCTTTATATTCTCTATGTCCAGTTGATGGGCATCGAAACACCCACAGAGTACAGCGGGTCAGGATGTGGTTTCCTCACCATGATGCTTGTGGTCGAAGAACTGTCCAGAGTAGACCCAGCAGTTGCAGCGTACGTGGACATCCACAACACTCTAGTCAATTCACTGTTCATGAAACTGGGCACGGAGGAGCAGAAGCAGAAGTACCTCACCAAACTGTGCACGGAATACGTGAGTAATGAATGTCTTTATTAAACTTTCAGTAATATTTTTTCATATAACAACTGTTGATGTTTAGAAATAGATATACCCAGGGCCGATAGGATAAAGGGGCCCCCTATGACTTTGATGTGGATTATGACTTGAAATTGCTATGAATCGAGTCATACTGATGAGTGTACTACTGATGATTTTTCTTTAAAATGTGTATGTGCTTAGTATAACATTATATGTAAGTATATTTAAATTGATCTAAGCATGCTGAAGTCGGAAACCCTAATTTTTGGGCGAGAGTAGAATAGCTTCGCTTATGTAAAAGCTAGTGGTGCCGATTCTGGCGTGATTCTCTAAACTTAAAACTAAATTTAACATCAGTCTGTCCTTTTCATTCTGTATAGAGAATGACAAGGATATACTGCTGTCAAATTTAAGTTTAGGTTTAGAGAATCATGCTAGAATCGACACCAGTAAGTTGGTATTGTAGTCAGTAATTTAGGTTCGATTTCATCGAGTTACATAAGTTTTTTGGCAATAAATATTGGTTATCGTGTGGTGATCTGAAAGCAACTAGGGACTTTGTATTTGATCTGATCTGGGCCCCTATCGATCGCGGGGCCCTGGGCACTTGCCTAAAGGGAAAGGGACTGGGAAAGAGGGGCCTGGTTATACCTACCTACTATTTGCTTGACTATTTTTTTCCGTAGATACTTCAAGTTGGGCAACTAAATAGAAGAAAAGAAATAGTTTTAATTATGATATTAATGCGATTAGTTGGTTATTACAAACGAGGGGACGCATCTTACCATAAGTTCACGCTGGACATTTCTATATTCACCATACAGCTCACAATCCTAGTTCTCTCTTAAACACACAATAGTAGTGTAGTACCACTCACTGTACAAGTCTTTAAACGATCGCCTTTGTATTCGTTCCGAAATCACTGTTGAAACTCACTGACTACGGCGCGTTTGTTTTTGTTTCATTTCCGCTGGCTGCAAGTTAATGTCAGACTCCTACTGACTAAAACACTCCCGTAGTTGCATGACCTGTATGCCTATGGCTATACAAACTTCATCTGAAGCCATCATCCTTTGAGGGAGGTGATGCGGGCTGCTGCGGCACCGAACGCGCTTATATACGCCGATTGATGCATTCCAGAAAAGTCCACTTTAATTGGGAGTTAACTACCACACGTACATACTTAGGTACCGCGCATAAGTTGTAAACAAGTGCAGATGTCGTTGCACTTTCACCCTTACGCCGCATTGCATAAGACACCATTCGGCCTCATGCCGCGTGGCCTCTGGTTAAAAATTTCCAGTATGATCGAGAATTTGGTTCGGGAGCGCTTGTGACAGTATGATAAAATAAAAACTCGAGCTCATACTTGCTTCGGAAGGTATGTTAAGCCGTTAGTACCGGCTGATGCATCTGCAGTCGTTGGCACCCACCAGTCCGCACTGGGCGGGCGTGGTGTTTCATGGCCCAATCTCCAAATTTTTTCTATAGGCAAGGCCAATACCCCAAGGGGATTGCTATAGAAAAGAGGATGGCTGAAGATAATGGTTTAACAATTCCTTCCCAGGCTGGCAGCTTCTGTCTTACAGAGCCTACGTCCGGGTCAGATGCCTTCGCGTTGAAAACAGTGGCAAAAAAAGATGGTGAAAATTACATCATCAACGGCTCCAAGATGTGGATCTCCAATTCTGATGTCGCTGGTGTCTTCTTGGTGATGGCTAACGCTGATCCCTCCAAGGTATGGAAACAGATTATTTCTAAAAAATCCACGTTTTCCAGGCAGCAGACGGGACTCAAACCCGCACCCTCCGTTATCCGGGCGGGTGCACTGACTGTGTTTAATTTCTTCTAGTATTCCTCCGTTATCCGGGCGGGTGCACTGACTGTGTTTAATTTCTTCTAGTATTACTTAGGCTGCACGGCAGCGCCATCTCTTCGCATTGTAGGTAACTCACAATGCCAAACGAACATCTTTACAAGTACATTTTAGTAAGGTAGCCTAGTGTTCCAACAACTTGAGCTCCTGTTAGTGATAATTGGATAGCCACCAAATGTACCTCATGATTGTAAACAATATTTATGATGCAAATAAATTATTATTATTATTTGGAAGAAGAAACACTGAGCAATTGTCGTTTACTATATTTTTATTTTTTGAGCTTTTAACTGCTAGATATTTGGTAAATAATTTATATTTAGGAGGTACTGGCAATGTGTACTGAGTTTGAGTTCTCGTTACGTCCGTTATGGCGCTGCTGTTCAAGTTCCCATACAAAATTTGACAAAGACATTTCGTACTCGCAAGCCATTCAAATTCCATTTCGATACGCGTCAAATGTGAAGAAGTTTTGTACGGAATATTTTTAATTCTTGTTATGTCCGTTGTGGCGCTATTTCCTTTTCCATTACGAATTCGATATTCGTCTGTGCTAGGCGTACCGTAATCGTATCGCATCACCAGTCTCTATGGACACTAAACAGCGGCACTACCGGACTTAAAAACAAACTAGTTTTTTCCATTGAAAATTCATGACCACAGAACACAGAAAAAGGTTAGAAGGGTGCTCATAGACCACCGGCGGACGCGTGGCCTATCCCCTTGGGGCGTACCATGCAGTGCCCGCCTTACTAACACATATGTCAGGGACCGCGGTCCTCGGGATATTTGTCAGCGGACAGGTGCAGGAGTATTGTCTGGTTTTTACCGTTAGTTAGGGCCCTACTCATTTCATCGAGTCACCATGCTGCGTGAAACGAGTGGGGAGGAGTCTCGGATAACTCTGCTTTGCTTCTCCCGGTGGGCGGAGAATGCGTAAAGCATTTTCCAGACATAAAAAAAAGGGACTCATAGACCGTTCGTACGAGAACCGATGTCTCCAGCTCGCCCCCACTACACTTCCTCCTAATAGATAATAGCCAATCGAACGACTCGTTCTGGAGTGGAGACCGCGTCTAGGCAAACGTAGTGTAGGACGTCCTCAGGCACGATGGAGTGACGATTTGCGCAAGGTGGCTGGCAGGAGCTGGATGCGAGTAGCCAAAGATCGATCTGAGTGGCGTGCATTTGGAGAGGCCTATGTCCAGCAGTGGACTATGATAGGCTGTTGATGAATCGAACGTCGCGACATCAAACAATCGAACCAATCAGCGCTCACACCCGAGAGCAACGACGCAATCAGAACCAAGTTTTGGTTCAGTAATGAGCATTTGCTTACACATAACTGTGAGCAAAAGCCCCGCCCACATGGCCCTTTTAATCTCTTTCTGTGTTCTGTGGTCATGACGATACGTATTCTTTAGTCTAGCTAGTTGTTCATGCTTGGGGTACAGGGGGTCTACTTTCTTTCTCCGAAACGAATTTTCGATAACGAAGTTCATCATCATCATCATCAGCCTATTAATGTCCCCACTGCTGGGGCACAGGCCTTCCCTATGGATAGATTAGGGAGATTGGGCCATGACCCACCACGCGGGCCCAGTGCGGGTTGGTGGGTGCTAACGACTGCAGATGCAGCCGGGACCAACGGCTTAACGTGCCTTCCGAAGCACGGAGGAGCTCGTGATAGTAAATTTTTGGTCACCCATCCAATGACCGACCAATACGAAAGTTGCTCAACTTGAACGACCGCAGCCGAACGCGCTTACCACTGGCGCCATCGAGCTCCTCCTGGGCATAAGTTCAAACGAAATTTAATTTCGTCAATTTAAGGTTATACTTAATTTGAACGATAAACTATGAAATTGAAGCTTACTTTGAGTAGGCTTAGAAAATCTACACCTTAATCCATATTCCGACGACGAATCTAATATATAAAATTCTCGTGTCGCGGTGTTTGTGGTTAAACTCCTCCGAAACGGCTCGACCGATTCTCATGAAATTTTGTGTGCATATTGGGTAGGTCTGAGAATCGGACAACATCTATTTTTCATCCCCCTAAATGTTAAGGGTAATCCACCCTAAAGTTTTTTCTTTCAATTTTAGATAATTTTTTTTATGATACATCATTCAAAAATACATACAACCCTAAATTTTCACCCTTCTACCACCAACCCCTATTTTTTTATGGCGGTACGAAGTTCGCTGGGACAGCTAGTATTAATATAATTCTCCTGTTGAATGGTAGAGAATGCCTAATGGAACTTGTACACTCATTTGTGCAATAAAGTATAAATAATTAAAAACGAACCAGAAACATAGTGAGAAAAGTGAAAAGGCGTAGTTTCGATCGGATTTTTCGAGTGTAGAAATTGCTGTTTCACTTGCAGGGTTATAAAGGCATCACTTGCTTCATAGTGGAGCGCGACACTCCCGGCCTTAGTGTTGCTAAACCCGAGAACAAACTGGGTATAAGGGCGTCCGGCACTTGTATGGTGCACTTTGATAACGTAAAAGTACACGAAAGCGCCATACTAGGAGAATACGGGCAAGGGTAAGAAAGAACTAATAAATTTATATTTGTTTCGTAGGTTTTCAGGCACACCTCACCCTTATTTATTGGAACGAAGTTCCTTACGGCAGGCTTGGAGGGGATAGGGATTTTGCTGCGCGACCGAACTGAAAAAAATGTGATAGTAAAACAGTAAGAAAAAATCCGTGGAAAAAAGTGCGTGGAATAAAACCGTTAAATGAGACGTGCGCAGGCGCGACAGTCGCATACACAAGCGAGTAGTGTATAATACCTTTCTCTTTCTCCTTTCTATTAGAATTTGATGACGAGACTGATTAATAAGGAACGAAGTGATTTTGCTGCGCGACCGAACTGAAAAAAATGTGATAGTAAAACCGTAAGAAAAAATCCGTGGAAAAAAGTGCGTGGAATAAAACCGTTAAATGAGGGAACTTCGTTCCTACCTGGTGTCCCACGACACCACATCTTTTTTTTTTAATACACCAATTAGCCTAGCCCCAAAGTAAGCACTGTAGGCTTTTGTTATGGGATACTAGTGTAATGGATAGAATACATATACTTTACATTATGTACTATATAGTAGTACTAGTAAGTATATTCATATAGAAATACATGTTAAACATCCATGACTGGAGTACAAATGCTCGTATTCATCACACAAACATCTGCCCCCACCGGGATTCGAACCAGGGACCTCTCGAGTCGGCAACACCATGAAACCCGGCGTACAAACCACTCGGTCACGGAGGTCGTCAAATGAAACTTATTAAACGGGTTTGAACTACATTAGTAATTAAAAAGCGCAATATGAAGTTAGATATTAAATTCTTTGGTTCATGCCTTGATTCGTCAATTAATGTTCCTTACCCTACAAGGTGAAAGTTCATGAAAGCCTAGAATAGGGGTAAGGGTAAGAAGTTACCTAATTAGATATGAAATTCTTTGTTTCACGCCATAATTTAATAAATAAGTAATAAATAAATATTTCCAACCCACACCAATTAGCCTAGCCCCAAAGTAAGCACTGTAAGGCTTGTGTTATGGGATACTAGGGTAACGGATAGAATACATATACTGATACATTGGATATAAATATATTGATATACGAGTATAGAAATACATATTAAACATCCATGACTGGAGTACAAATGCTCGTAATCATATTAATAATCATCATATAATTAGCGTCATCAATGCATCTACAAAGTCAAAATATACGACAAAGCCAAATTAGGAGAATACGGGAAGGGATAGGATGTAAGATATTAATTTATTTGGTCAATACCATCAGTCGTCAATAAATGTCCGGAACGCTGGGTATAGGACTTCCCTGTGAATGCTTTATAGGGAGAACGAGCCTACCTATTATCCTTATCCTATTGAAAGTTGAGTCGTGTAGAAGATGTACACGGAATTAGATTTACTCTGCTCTAGTAATTCACTTTCACTGTAAATCCCTATTTATAATATTTATTTAAGTATAACATGAGATCGTTTTCTAAAACTTGTCAAATACCATTATTTGACAAGTTTTAGAAAACGATCTCATGTTATTGACTAATATTTATGGAGTCCGTAAAAAGTGGATATTCATCATTCAGTTGTGTTCAGTAAAAATAACCAAATCAAAAACTCCATTCTCAAGTTGCCGCGAAATCGTTTCTCTGGATAATATGGCGTCTTACTAGTGTGTGACGTCACACGACAGTTACTGACAAAACGTCAAACGATACAATGTAATGTCACTTTAACCAGAAGTTTACTTGCGTGTGACGTCATTTTAGGCTCCGCCAATCCCAAGCGTTTTAGGTCACGTGACAATAGATAAGAAACCTACTATCTTTTTCGTTAGTTTTTAGTAAAATTATGAATATTTTTTTAGTAAAAACCCCTGTCAATATTCTTCTAAACACAGATGCTAACAATTGACACTTTATTTTTAACACTGTCAAATACCCTATTATACCTATTATTGTTATTTCCATCAGGTATAAATACGCGGCCGGTTTCTTGAACGAAGGCCGTATTGGTATCGCGTCTCAAATGATTGGCCTCTGTCAGGGATGTATGGACGCCACTATTCCTTATACGCTGGAACGGAAGCAATTCGGCAAGAGTATTTACACATTCCAGGTAGGATAATTTCCTATGTGATTTCCATAGAGAAACGCAACGCAAAACTTACTCTGTTGTCACCATTCGCTACCTAAACTGGAGTTCGGCAAAATCATCTTGGTACACCAGCATCTTCCAGGTACGACATATTGTTGCCAAATTCAAGGTTAAATATACTCTCTTGCCACATTCAAAGTAGGATATTTTCTATTGCCACAATTCCTTATACGCTGGAATGGAAGCAATTCGGCAATAGCATTTACACATTCCAGGTAGGATAACCTACTATTTTATATCCATAGGGGAAAAAAGAGGCGCAAAACTTATTCTGTTGTCACCATTCGCTACATAATGGAGTTCGGCAAAAGCATCTTGGTACACCAGAATCTTCCAGGTACGATATATTCTGTTGCCACATTCAAAGTAAAATATACTCTCTTGCCACTTTCAAAGTAGGATATTTTCTATTGCCACAATTCCTTATACGCTAGAACGAAAGCAATTCGGCAAGAGCATTTACACATTCCAGGTAGGATAATTTACTATTTAGTGTCCATAGAGAATAATTATGAGACGCAAAATTTACTTTGTGTCACCATTCGCTACACATATTGGAGTTCGGCAAAGGATCTACAACACCAGAATCTTCCAGGTACGATATATTCTGTTGCCACATTCAAAGTAAAATATACTCTCTTGCCACATTCAAAGTAGATATTTTCAGTTGCCACCATTGTCGTCGTTTCCGAACCGTAACGTTGCCGATTTGAAACGACGTTAGACGATGCACGGCTTTCAACAATCTTTCAACGCCGCCGCACCGTTCGGCAACGTTACGGAACGTTAACGTTACGGTTCGGAAACGACGTTAGACGAGGGTGAAAGGTTTTTTCGTTACGGAATTTCTTGATTCGGTCGCTGCGCTCAAAGCCCGCGATAAAAGCTATTCAATAGCTTAAATTAAAAAATCAAAACATAGAGGCATAGTCTAACTACTTATTATTCTTTTTTGTAAAATTTCTTTGACATAAGTATATCTAATTTTCGAGGAGGAAATCGTCTAGAGCCAAACCTCGTAATTCGCAACTTTTATACGCCATTTTCAGCGTTAACTACTGTTTTCCCTATCACATGGTATTTGCCAATGCGTGACAGCAATAGTTTTTTCAAATACCTATTTCGCAAATATCTCTCAGCTTACGTCCGCTCTTTATTCTCCAATTCCATACCGTCCGAAAAAAAAACATTCCAACACATTGCGCAGAAAATTATAATAAACTTTCAAGTCTGTCTCAACCTGTCGGGGGTTTAGGACATAATTACATTAATTAATATACATCTATCGGGTCTTCTTTTAATAAAAATCTCTCTTCCCATCACCACACAGGGTATCAGCTACCAGATCGCTCACTTACAAACGCAGTTAGAAGCGGCCCGTCTGCTCACTTACAACGCGGCGAGACTCAAGGAGAACAACATGCATTTCGTCAAAGAGGCCGCTATGGCTAAATACTTCGCTTCAGGTATTATAACTAATAATAATAAGAATATAAAGAAAATTTTACTGGAAACACCGTCTGCTGCCTGCAACGCGTGGAATTTTTCTAGTAAAAATTTCTTAAATATAAACATCTAGCAGTTAAATGCTTAAAAAAATAAATTTTAAATATGATAATATTCTCTATTAACAACACCTCATAGGACATATAAAACATAAAATATGACATTGAAAACGTACACAATTGAGCTTTATTGCTAAACAGTTATCTCTGCCAGAGAAATAAATAATAGGATGAAAAAACTTAATAGGTACCAACCATAAATGCGCAAATGTGTCTCACTTACCTCTTCACATTTAAACCACTGGATCAATTTCAATGAAAGGTATAGATATAGTTAGTACTGGGAAAAAGCATAAGATAGTTTTTATCCTAGAAATCATCCTTTAAGGGGATGAGAAGGAAGGAAGTTTGTATGAGAAATCAATATTTCCATGCAGACAAAGTTGCAGAGACCAACTTGTAGGACGATGTAGAATGATATAAAGAATAAAAAATAGTTCTTCATCATTTATCTGAATAATATCTTCCAGCAAGTCTGACAATATTATCCTTAACAGACAGATCATCATCATCAGCCTATTAATATGCCCACTCCTGAGGCACAGGCCTTCTCTATGGGTGGAATAGGGAGATTGGGCCATGACCCAACACGCGTGCCCAGTGCGGTTTAGTGGGTGCTAACGACTGCTGATGCAGCCGGGACCAATGGTTTAACGTGAACGCGCCTTTCAAAACACGGAGGAGCTCGTGATTGTACAATTTTAGACCCATCCAATGACTGACCACTGCGAAAGTTGTTTAACTTCAACGATAGCAGCCGAATGCGCTTATCACTTGCGCTATGGCACTCGCCTGAGAATTTGTGATCTAATAGATTAGCATCTGCCTGTTAATGTCCCCAGAAACAGTAGTAATTACTTTCTGTATGTTTTTTTTTATATAGCCAGGTAGACAAATGACTTTACCCCACCTGATGTTAAGTGGTGATAAAATCCAAACGGGAGGATAGCTGGTACAGCCGTTATAAACTGCCACACCAACCATCCTCACTTGCCGCCCTGCATAAATGCTTCTTCTCCCCACAGCTAACATAATAGGGAGAATAGGTCATGCATGCATAACCCTCACGCGCCATAATGGTAATGACTGCAGTATATCCAACAAACGGTCAATGTAATTCATTAGGTACAGAAAAAAAACCCTTTGCCTGAAAATTGCCTAATATCAAGACTTTTAGATATTTGCTGGTTTGATGCAAATATCTAAAAGTCTTGATATTAGGCAATTTTCGCTTCATATCATCAACCTTTTATTGTCTTCTTACTGAACGATGCATCTACTTGACAAAATTGAATTAGATATTTTTCAGTCATATAATTTTTATTGTTATTTTCAGAAATTGCTCAAACCCTTACTTCAAAATGCATCGACTTCATGGGTGGTGTTGGTTTTACACGTGATTTTCCTCAAGAAAAGTTCTACCGGGATGCGAAGATCGGTACAATCTACGAGGGAACAAGCAACATGCAACTACAAACTATAGCAAAACTCATCGAGAGAGAATACAAACAATAAACTGTTGAAAACTAAAAAAAATGATATTATAACACATTCTTTTTTAAATCTACAATAGGGATGATGACTAATTTTTTTTTCTTTGTCTATCAGGTAGATGATCAAAAAGTATTGGACACATATTTTTTCCTTTTTCATATAATATAAACATTGCAGAGATATATTGATTTGAAAAGACATGACGTCACGTTTTGGTACAATTTTCACTTAAAAGTGACATAACAAGCCCTTACTTCCAAACTTTGATGCGCTATAACTTTGTCATTTTTTGGTTGATTGCACAAAGAAAAAATGTGTCCATAATTTTTTGATTATCTAACTGACGAACTAAATAGAATTTCGTTTACTGTACCCCGTCATCACCCCTATTCAATGTCTGCAAATGTAAATATTATAAAATAAGGTTTAATATACTCAGTTGAGACTGGGTCTTTCTACAACCCTATTGTTAATAAAAAACAATGAAGTTATTTTTGTTATCTATTTATTTAAAACCTCTATTATTTACAAAATTATTTTCTGCATTTTATGTAGTTAATTCATAGTACAGTTTGCTATCCCTACGGTTTCGGATCATGAGGTAATTTGAATCCAACCATATTTGCTGTTTCCTGCAATGATCTCTCTCCTTTTCCCTTGAATTCAGTGTTGATTTCCTTGTATTTTCTAGCGTAATGAAGGTAATTGTAATATGTCTTGGCTCTGTAGTGCATCTCTTCAGCTGCCTTGCACAGCTGCTGATCAGTGGTTTGGTGTTTCCTATATTGATTGAAGATGTACAGTACCATTTGGTTCTCTGACAGTCTTTTAGTAGAACTCTGCTGACGTAATTCGTACAACAGCTGTCGGAGGGTAACAAGAGCCGGCTTTGATGTAATAGATGCCATGATTCAAACCTTCAAAGAAATCAGATGTTCAGCTTTGCAACCATCAGAGATGTAATAAATTCTTCTGTATCCTCATATAATGGTTTGCTACCTTTATTCCAGAAATCTTTAGAAACCAAGTCTAGCTTCTCCTTTGGAAATGAATGTAGTGAAGTGTCATTAAATATATCTGTATACTTAAAGTTATTTACCAAGACGCTTTCATGGGTGTAAGGATGTATTTTGTAAATATATGGGACAGTTTCTAACAGTAATCTGCTTGGATTATTCTCAATCAAAGAGTTGAAACTGTTGCCAATAATTATACAGTTTTGAAGACTAGGATACCAATTACTCCAAAGAAAGTTATTAGTCAATTGCTTAGGACAATGAGGAAAGTACGATAGGGTGATACCTTCATCAGATATTATGTAACTTCCCTCATTGTTTTGTTCTATTAAATCGAGATCAAAGTGCCTCAGTATTTCACACTCGCCTTTAGAAAAAATTGGGTCGTGCACTAATACTCTCTGCGGTTTACAGAAGTCTTTCAGACACAATAAAAAGGCCAATTGATGCCTAGATATATTACATACTGAAATTTGGCCAAGACCAAAACAAACTATTTCTTTGACATATAATCCATTTAGAGTTTTACTTACTAATTTGGTCACTTCTATGTGATATGAAGAATGTTGTAAATCTTCGAAAACTGATTTAATTTGCCTGAAAATAAAAATCGTTTATACAAAACTAACCTCAAAACATAACATTCAATTAAATAATAAGAGAGTTATGTACCGTGTAACTCGCTCCACGTCTACGTTCAGTTCCTGTTTCATAAAATTCAATTGTTTTTGAGGTAATTTAGTGGCTTTATTTTTATAAGAATGTTTTGATTTCACTATTTGAAAACCATCTGAATCAATTTTTGACATTTTAAAAGTGGGTTGCCAGTTACTATAGGAAATATACCCTACCTATATGAAAACGGAAAAAAAACATTTTTGAAAAAGCATTTACCACTTTGATTTACATAAAATATTCAACAATCCCGCGCCTCCATTAAGTTTAGGACAGTACAAGAAAGGAATTGTATAAACTTGTTAACTTTATAGTGTCGTATAGGAATTATGAGTAAGAGAAGATTTAATGTTCTGATTTTTAATTGTTTACATTATTGGTCTTGTCATCATCTTACTTGACCTTTTTTATTTACTTTAACATCAGACTCCAGAACAAGAATACTGAAAAAATTGACAGAATGAGCAATCTTTCATACTGAACCTGATAGTCATTACTATTAATAATTCCTAATTCCAAACCAGTGTATAATTTACAAAGGTTTTTGAAAAAAAACTACGAATTGACTATGAGATTTTATTTTTAAGTGATATACTTACTCATCAAGATTCTCTTGATCCGTGTATGTTTTACTTAAATAGGGAAGACCCATAGATATAATATTCTCAATAATTTGAGGGAAGACCAAGACCTATGCTTCCGGCAATCTTGGATATATTTATGTTATTTTTATATTTTTTGTTTTCTGGAAAGTAAAAGGTATAACTACCATACAGCCCAGTCTTTTTATATTTTACACAATTTTTAAAGAGATAATTTCTTAGCTTTTTTGGTGTTTTTAGGACGATAAAACGAAAAAACGACAGTAACAAACATAACTATAAACCTATGCAAGAGAAAAAGTGAAAAAGCGGCCAGTAATTTGAGACGCCATGAAGGTATCTATCTATGGTCAACGCGCGCCTATCTCGTTAGATGGCGCGAATGAGCAAAAATGCCACGACCGAAGCCAGCCATGCATGCATCAATTCTATGATTACACCCGTTCCATCCAGTATCTACTTAAGTACAATTTATATTAACTCAACAAATCATGAAATGTAATTTAAATCTATGATTCCTTGTACGAATTTAAAATTTTAGGAAACTAGTGGCCGGCGTCGATTTCGTCAGCGTCAACTTTAGTTTTTTGAAAATCCCTCAGGAACTGTTATTTTTCCGGGATTAAAAGTAGCCTTTGTCTCAATTCAGGTCATATCTATACCAAATTTTAATCAAGTCTGTTTAGAAGTTTTTGCGTAATTGAGTAACAAACATACAAACTTTCACATTAATAAATAAAATAATAAATAAATATTTCCGACACTCACACCAATTAGCCTAGCCCCAAAGTAAGCACTATAAGGCTTGTGTTATGGGATGCTAGGGTAACGGATAGAATACATATACTGTACATATATAAGTATATTTATATAAATACATATTAAACATCCATGACTGGAGTACAAATGCTCGTATTCATCACACAAACATCTGCCCCCACCGGGATTCGAACCTGGAACCTCTCGAGTCGGCGACAGCCATGAAACCCGGCGTACAAACCACTCGGCCACCATTAATATTAGTAGGATAAGAAAGTGAACTTTATTGTCTAACAACTTTTGAAAACGAATTACACATTTACTGCTATTATTAGGCTCAATTCGGTATTACCAACGATTTTAATATTGCTGGGAATTTCTTAAATGATTTTATTTTCGTAAAAGTTCATGGAATTTTGAGCTTTTCTATGTTTCGGAAGTCAAGTTACGCTGTTGCGCGTTGATCGAGGCTGCTTCTGCATTGTGTTGTACTTTGGTTACTTGGTAATTCGCACTGGGTCCGAGTGAGAGGCCTGACATCCATAGAAGAGGCCTGTGCCCCAGCAGTAGGGATATTAGGTTGGTGATGATAATTATCGACTTCTCTAAGTAAATTCTACCTTTGCCCATGGTAGTTTTGAAATCATGAAAGACCAATAAATAGACAAGGCATTTTCACATATGGGGAATAAGGGTTGTTAATAGTACATTACTGCTGCGGCCAGCAAAAGAGGCATTGATGGGCGAACGTGTTAATGTAGGCCGAGGCGAAGCCGAAGAACTCATACGTACGTATGCCATCAATGCCTAGTTGTGGGTAAGACATGTTTAGTACTTTTCTCAAATAATGCGCGGTAAATATAAGTTTTGAAAATCAATGACGATCAATTAAACAATATAATTTCCTCTGTGAAAGTGTTCAATATTTCTTTTCATTAAACAGCTTTCTATTTGCAAGCCCGTTTGAAATTGAAATAAAACCTTTGATGTTACGTATATTGTTTTAAACTTTCATGGTCACTAACATGTCACGGAGACTCCCGTGATCATGGCGCTTGCAACAGTGCCGAAATATCGGAGAGTCATAAAAAACAAGGTACATGGTAACAATCCCGAGCTATAATTTGATGTTACGTCCTTGTTTACCATATTTCGGCTTTAGCCTTTAGCTTTTATTTAACTTGGAATGTATGTATGTATACATGTTCGGGTGGAATCTTGCAACTCAATTTTGAAGCAGATGTCTTCATTCGATTGAGCTGGAATTTTGTAAACATGTTAGGTTTGGGTGACAATGCGTGGTGAGCTGTGTGACGTCATTCTAAATCCAATATGGCGGATTAGTAATTTTTGATGCACTCTTACAATATGGGTATCAAATGAAGGGGTTTGCTGAGAATAACTCGAAAAATAAAGTGACGTCACCTTGAATCCAATATGGCGGACATAAAGAGTTGGCGGCCTAAGTTTTTTACGTTTTCTGACAATAAGTATGGGTATCAAATAAAAGGACTGGCTGAAAATATGGCGTTTTTTAAGTTCTCGATTATGTCCATCGACAACTAAAACGTAAAAAAATAATTAAAAGTAAAAAAAAATTTAAACACAAGCTTTTATTTAAATGCGCTAAAAAAATGAAAATTTCCCTTAAAATTAAAACTTTAACTCATTTCACCATTTAATATAAAAGTATGTCGCCAGATTTAAGAAGGTACATACTGGTAGTTTTAATATGAAAATTTAAAAAATTCAAATCAATACGATCAAATTTTGTTTACCTACACAGGTAAATTTCGCGACAAGCTTTTATATTATATAAATTATGTACCCAATGAAATGAGTAAAAGTTTTAAGTGAAAATTTTATTTTATTCTTCTGAAAGAAAAATATTATTACTCTGCGACTCATAACTTGCTTGCAAAAAAGTTTTAAAACATTTATGGCAAATGGCTAGGTACCATAGCCTCTTTGTTACTTTTTATTTATAGGTTTTCGTATCTACTATCTCTGTTCATAAATCAAAACCAAAAGGCGGTATAAAAGGATGCCGATAAACAAAGATTGCAAAGTTGGTCATTCTTTTGTATGTCACCTGTTTCCCACAACACACGTCCTTGATTAGGTATTTAGGCTAGGAAAATTGTCCGGCTGACACCGAGAACGACCATGACGCATATCAAGCATCCATTGTGTTGTTTGTATGGGCCACAATCAAAATTGAAGCCCTAGCATTCGAAGCACGCATCTGAATCGGTTCCAACATACCGTAAGACCAATAAGGCGACAATAAAGAGTATCTGCCTACCGAACAATATTATTCGGTCAAGTACGGTCACGAGACGACGTATCCGAATATTCTTTGCGCGCGAAATTAAATATTTTTTTTTTCAGTAAGCGGGTTGGATTCTAAAATTTCTTTATAAACAGCCAGCGTGCCAGTTGCTCAATGTTTAATGTTTTTTTAATTTAATTTAGTACTAACTCACTTTCTAAATTCGCTCGACTCCCATGTTAGATGTTCGTGATGACCGCTTTAATTGTAATGAATTCTGCTCGCTTCGTTGCGATTTATATAATATTTTAATGGCCACTGTGTGGTCAAGATTTGTTTTTTCCAAAGTTTACTTAGTTTAAAAACGTCCGAGGAGTGCACCCATCGTGTTTTGTTACGCGATTGTTTTTGCGCGTATGTGGTTGTTGTACATTGCCGATTTGTGAAGTGAGTGAAATGGAACGTTACACAGTGACCCGTCGTTCGATACGGAACAAGAACAATGACGGACTGTTGACAAAGTGGAGGAAGAAATATGTTGGTGGTATCCTGAAAAAACACACATGGATTAGCAGTGGATATGATTTGAACGTAAGTGTTGACCTGAACCTATACCCTTAGTACGAGTTTTACAACTACGAAAACTATGATAGTTTTCGTGAGCTCGCACTCGTACTGAGGGTACTGATTTTATTGTTTTCATTTCAATACAAATAAACAGTGTATAAATTCGGATAGACTGTACTTCCAGGGCCCAAAAGTAAAAACTTCACAGTTTTGTTGGTTGTAATTTCGCATTTTTGTTGTTAAAAAGGTTTCTGTTAACCACATTATTAAAAAAAATGTCACACTTATGCACTGGAAGTTTTTTAGAAAAAAATATTGAAAATTTTTACTTTTCTTATCAAGTGGTGTTACTTCGCACTAGGTTAGGTTAGGTTAGTGTTGTGACCATAACGCGCGAGCCGAGCGAGCAAAGCGAGCGTGCCGGGGCAGCGGCCGGCGAAGCGCCAGAAAAAAAAATCTGTTAAAAAGACCTTTTCTACAAAAAAAAAAGTATCACCTTTTGGGCCCTGGAAGTACAGTTTTACCAAAATAAATATATGATAAATTCTATCATTAAATCATTTGCGTCTTCTTAAATTTAAATATATTTGGTTACTAATCACCAAAGTGGACATAGAAACATAATTGACAATTACGAAAACTATGATAGTTTTCGTGAGCTCAAACTCGTAGGTACTAAGGGTACTGGTCTAAAAGTAATACTATCGTATGTTAAAGAAAAGTCAAAGACAGCATTATAGGTTGTACCTGTAGCCGTACCACGAAAAAGTTAGGTTGGCTAAGAAAACATCTTGCAAAATTTTCCTAAACATAGTTAAAAATAATGTACTTTTTTTGGATTTAATATGTATTCAATTATTGAAGTTAATATATACAGGAACAATGAACCTTAAACTAAAAAAAACCCTAAAAAATATAGTATAATAACTAAAATATATTACTAAAAGTAAAAGGAGTCCCTTTAGGCAAGGTTTCGAAGATACTGGCAGCGTTCCCCCTTTGAATAGCTAGACTTATTCGTTGTCTGAGGTAGCTGCCAGCTCTTCGGTCTCTAGTGATGTCGACTAACCTTTTTGATATTTCCTTAAAAAACCTCATAGCGCTAGGACCCCACGCCACGGACCAAGGGTCTCGACACCGAATGGGACAAAATCATATTCGGATTTATGTACTTTTTTGTGGCACAAATTTTGATTTATTTATGTGATAATGTTAACCCTCTTAACGTTAATCAATATTTGTATTAAAGGTTAAAGCCTTTAAGTTATAATGCCCGTAGTGATTGATATAAAACCAACCTAAGCATCAGATACCACATGCACCCAGACGCGTATAAAGTAAATTTCCCGAGAAATCTATCAAGCTTTTCTGATATTATATTTTTACTCACTCCACTATTAAATTAAACCCTGTTTCAATGGGTTTACGATGTGTTTTTTGAGGACTCCATGGCGCAGGTGATTAGCGCGTTCGGCTGCGATCGTTGAAGTTAAGCAACTTTCACAGTGGTCGGTCATTGGATGGGTGAACAAAAATCTTCTATCTCGAGTTCCTCCGTGTTTCGGAAGGTACGTTAAGCCGTTGGTCCCGGCTGCATCTGCAGTCGTTAGCACCCACCAACCCGCACTGGGCCCGCGTGATGAATCACGGCCCAGTCTTCATACTCCATCCATAGGGAAGGCCTGTGCCCCAGCAGTGGGAACATTAATAGGCTGCTGATGATAAATAAATAAATAAATAATATTTCCAACACTCACACCAATTAGCCTAGCCCCAAAGTAAGCACTATAAGGCTTGTGTTATGGGATACTAGGGTAACGATAAATAAGTATCTAATATATAAAATTCTCGTGTCGCGGTGTTTGTGGCTAAACTCATCCGAAACGGCTTTCCCGATTCTCATGAAATTTTGTGTGCATATTGGGTAGGTCTGAGAATCGGACAACATCTATTTTTCATCCCCCTGATTGTTAAGGGTAATCCACTCCTAAATTTTTTTTTCAATTTTAGACATTTTTTTTTATCATTTTTTTATGATACATCATACAAAAATATATACAGCCCTAAATTTTCACCCTTCTACCACCAACCCCTATTTTTTTTTATGGCGGTACGAAGTTCGCTGGGTCAGCTAGTATTTATATAGAATTACATATTAAACATCCGTGACTGGAGTACAAATGCTCGTATTCCTCACACAAACATCTGCCCCCACCGGGATTCGAACCCGGGAACCCTCAAGTCGGCGACACCATGAAACCAGGCTTACAAACCACTCGGCCACGGAGGTCGTCAATGATAAAGGCATACAGCAAAATAATTATTTAGAAAGCAATTACAAACTGTCACCAACAGATAGTCGGCTTGTAATTGTTTAAGCCACTGTCTTCTTTCTAGCGGAATAAAATGAGTAATTATATTGTTAACTTAACAGTACTTGGATAAATTATTAAACAACAAGAAAAGCGACAGAACTGACGAGACGAGGGCTCTATGTGACGATTGTGCTTTATTATCTATTAAGTAATTGCGTCTTTTTGACATAATAGGGGTGATGACGGGGTACAGCTTTCAGTAAACTAAATTCTATTTAGTCCGTCAGTTAGATGATCAAAAAATAATGGACACGTATATTTTCTTTGGGCAATCAACCAAAAAATGACAAAGTTTTAGCTCGTCAAAGTGACGTCACCTTTGAGTAAATTTTCACTTATAAGTGTACTCAAACGTGACGTCATGCGACTTTTCAAATCAATATATCTCTGCAATGTTTATATTATGAAAAAAAAGAAAAAATACGTGTCCAATACTTTTTGATAATCTACCTAATAAACGAAGAAAAAAAATTTAGTCATCATCCCTCTTGTTATTCTAACAAAAAGGGGCAACCAAATCCTTACAGAAAAGCTCATTTTTGTAACAACAAATTGTAACTACTCAAATACAAATTAATAATCAGGCGCGATGGGGTGACGATTTGTGATGATGATGATGAATGACAATGAAACACTACTGCCAAAAGCGAAGTAAAAAGTCAAAAGCAAAGTTCTTAAAAGTCATTGTCAAAAGTCAAAAGAGTCAAAATCTTTTTAATCTTAGAAATCCAGAGGGTGTGTTGTGTAAGGATTCCAACGATATCCTACGCATCAAAAACTGTCCAGTAGCCCTAGCACGAACCGTTATCGAATTCGAATAGTTTGCGAGTGCTAAATGTCAATGTCGAATTTTGTATGGAAACTTGAACAGCAGCGCCGCAAAGTACGTAACGAGAACAAAAACTCTGTACACATTTGACATTGACATTTCGCACTAGTAAACTATTCGAATTCGATATTGGTTCACGAACCAATGTCGAATTAAAATCACATATTTAATCATTAAACTAGATTCGAATAGTTGCATTCGATCTAGATACGCATCAAATGTCAAGAAGTTTTGTATGGAATATTTTTAATTCGCGTTACCTACGTCCGTTGTTGCGCTGTTCAAATTTCCGTTCAGTTCCAATTCAACTATTAGAATTCGATATTGGTTCGTGGTGATGGGTTATGTTAATTTAAATTTATGTTATAAAGAAACGCACATACATACTTAAGGTGAACGCAGACTTGGCCGCACCGCAGTCTCCGCAGTCCCCACAGTCATCGCTTTTTGTTAATAACCTCGCACATCTAGGGGTCATCCATAAATTACGTCACACGAATTTCATGTCTTTTTTGCCCCTCCCCCCGTCCTTGTCACAGCTGGTCACATTTGTAAGACTCCCCCCCTCCCTAGTGTGACGTCACATATTTTGCAAATTTACATTTAGAAATCATTGAATGAAAACAGCGGTTCTGTAATCAGTTTTATTTCCATTTAAATTGTTTTTTCATTATTATTATAATCAAATCAAACAATTAACAAAACAAAAAAATTACCGAACAAAAAGTGATTGAGTATGTTAATTAAAGAAATTAACAAAACATAAAATATTAATAGCATTATAATTAAATTAAAGATACAAACTTAATAATCTTGAGTCCATGGACATTGATCCCACTCCTTTAAATTATTTATAACTGGCATAGCACCACTTTGTTCTCGTTTGGGTTGTTAATGCTTTCGTAAAGTAATAGTTTCAACACTTAGATTTTAATATATTTTGAAATGTGACGTCACGAAATTTAGGACCCCCCCCACCCCTTGTCACACGATGTTACATTTCGTCGACCCTCTCCCTACCCCTTAAAGTGTGACGTAATTTATGGATGGCCCCCTATCCGCACCGCAGTCACTGCAGTCGTTCCCATCGCCGCACGCGTCGCACTTGATTTCTTTCATTTTGACGAATGACGTCATCCGCGCCGCGCTAGCCGCAGCGGTCGCTGCGTGCGGGCCGGCGCTGGTGACATCATCAGCTGCGGCTTGGGGAGTTCGGTCGTTCCAGACTGCGACGCGGGTAGGTGTGCGAGGTTGCATAGAACATTATACAACGAATTTGAATGCGAAAACGGCGCCGGCGCGTGCGGTGAGGATAAGTCTGCGTTCACCTTTATAAACATACAAACATGAGGTCTGAAAACATTACACTCCTTTATTGGCAGTCGTGCAATCATGCAATTAACACACACCCGGGACTTTCACCCATACTGCATTATTGATTGTTTAAATTTGGAAGTGTATGCATTTCGCATTCAATAAATGCGTGATATAATATGATATAGGTAGCGGAAAAATTCTTGAACAGAACCACAGACAAATAAATTTGCGCTGTAGACATTTTTGTATGGAAAATTGTGGAGGTCCACATCAAAACGTAACATTTTCATCTTAAATGATTTTACACAATTTGAGAAAAACGAATTAGTCATCAATGCTTAAAGCAATCTCTATACTCACTATCAGGAAAAAAACTGTGAATATTTATACTTTTATACTCATGAGAATTATTTATAAAAAAAAATGTTACATGACATAGTAAGACATTCAAAGCTCGTGTTGTTTTACAATAACATATTTTTATCCTATCATATATGTAGCGACAAAATAAATAGAATAATAAAAAGAAAGGAGAAAACAGGAAGAGGTTATAAAAAATATATAGTTTTACAAGAATAAGTTTTTACAGAAAGAATATTAAAAAAAATAGAGGTTTGATATGAGATGTGTGAAGTGCGGTGTGTGAAGTATGTAGTGGTGAAGTGGGCGTGGGTCGTCGGCTATCTTCAGTGAAGGCTTGAGCGGGTGACCGTGCTGTTGGCAGACGGGCGGCACTCTTGGAGGGCGACAGCGCTCCTGGTCCGGTGTCTCTCCTCTCAGTGCTTGACCTGCCCTGCTGGTGGCTGGCAGGAGCTCTTGATAGGTTGGCCGGCGATTCTGGTGTATCGGCCGGTGGCTGGAGCTGCTGATGGACGGTAGGCGCAGCTGGTAGACGGACGATGAAGCTGGAGACAGGGCGGCACTCCCGCCGATGAGGTTGAAAGTACAGTGAAAAGAACGAGTAGAGTAAAGTTTAGAGAGAGAGCCAAAGGGTGCTGTAGAGCTTTGAGGTCTTTTCTTGAGTCCTGGGGATTGCCCCGGGACAAGGCCTTTTATTAATTTAGAGCTTGGTAGCGAGCTAACAAAAGTTATTATGGCAACTTTTGCCAAAGAAATGAATCAAAGATCAGGGTGGCTCGGCCTTTTATAGGTCCGGAACCATTTTAATTTAGACACGATTCGAATCGAACTATAAAGAATCAAAGTAGGTGGTCTGTGGAGGTTGAATAAGCATAGACGTAGTTGGAGAGAGTATCCGTGTCATGGGTAGCCATGGCAACGGATAAAAACATTAAGGTGTCACAAATGTCAAGCAAATAAACAAACAAAGTTATGACTAAAAATATATAAAAACAGAATAAAATATGGCAAAAGAAACTGATTTTTCTATTACAGATAAATATAAGGATATAGAAAGATGTAATGTAAGTGTCCAGCACTCTGGAAAAGTGATTTTAGTAAGATGGGATTCTGATACGTATTTACAAAATGAAGAATAGTTCGTGATATTTTTAAAATTGTGCGTTTCCAGAAATTAATAATGAAAGATAAGAAAGAGAAGTGTAAAAATATGATAAATAACCACGATGACAGATGACAAAATGTGTGAAATGGAATCTATGACGGCCAAAAAAGGACGGATCGTCCCTGAGGTACGTTACAACTCAACATGCAATTTAAAAAAGAAAATCGTATTCTAAGATAAACAGTAGGTTCATGTAGAAGAACAGGAGAAATTTCAGAAAAACAGTAGATTCATGTAGAAGAACAGGAGAAATTGCAGAAAAACAGGAGATCTCTTGTAAAATATGGAAACCTGGTAACTTGTCAAAAACTTACAATATCGAATTCCTCCATGCTTTGAAGGCATGTTACACCGATGGACCTGCTGCATTTGCATTCGAAGCACCAACCACTCCACACTTGGCCCACGTGGTCCATCAATCTCCCTATTCCATCCATACGGTAGGCCTGTGCCCCAGCAGTGGGGACATTAATAGGCCGATTACGATGATGGTACAGTAACTTTCGACTTTATTTTTTTCTGTGTCTGGAAAATGCCTTACGCATCCTTCAACTACTTGGGGAACGATAATAAGGTATGTGGGACTCCTCCCTGTCCTCTTCAGCCAGCCCTGGAGCTCGCTGATGTGAACAGGGCTCTACCTACGCCCTGAACAGAGCCACTAAAAACCGGACAATACTCCTGCACCGTCACCCGACACGCACTATGAGCCGCGGTCCTCCTAGTGCGTGCCGAGAGGGCGGGTGTGGTTGCGGAGCCCGTCTCCGAATGGCCGCGGAGTAATTTTCCGACCTAGAAACTTAGATTAAAACAAAAAGGGTAGATACGGCACTGGTCTCACAAAAGTGATCCGCACAAATTGTGGTCCACGACCCTAATCGCTTTAGTTACAACTTGACATGCAAACGACGTACATGTAAACGTCAAAAAGAAATATTGATAATATTTTGTGTTTATAGGATAAAACAATGGATAAGTATGTTTTTAAAAAGTGCTCAAATTGCTCAAGATTAAAAATAAAACCCACGGCATCACTTTTCATTCGTAAGGACTATAAAATATATTTTTTCATAAAAATTGCTGTTTGTTTTGAATCTTATTCGGTATTCGGTGTCGGTAGTGCAGTGACGCGGATCTCGCCGTCTCGTTCGCGCTGCCGTTGAAACTTAACGTGCTGTTTCGTTCGGGTCGGTAATGCAGTGACGCGGATCTCGCCGTCCCGTTCGCGCTGCCGTGCGATCAGTTTTTGTTTGATGCAAGTATGAGCGTACCGTATCTACCCTTTTTGTTTTAATCTAAGCCTAGAAATGGCCTATAAACAAATAAACCACAGACCGCATTGAAACCGTATCGGATTGAACCGCATTGTTACACACTCTCACGGTTCGGCTACTGTTGCAACAACACTGGTTAATCATACATCATTATCTAAAAGTCAATCATGTATACTTGTACTGGATGACAAGTCAATTTTTTATATCGAAATATTACTGCTTAATTGATTGTAGGCATTAAGTGTAATAATGAATAATAAATCACGTTTGGAAAAGATGGCGCAAAAGTAATCATCCGATTTGGTTTTAGTATAACTTTTTTACATAATAAAAAAAATGTTTGGCTGATGGAAATCTGTAACAGGATCTTTAATTTTTACCTGTTCAGAGGAAAAGATATATCCGTCAATTTCATGCCGCCAGTGATCAATTCTGACATGATTCTCTAAACCTAAACCTAAATTTGACAACAGGGTATCCTTGTCATTCTTTACACAGAATGAAAAGGAGAGACTGATGTTAAATTTAGTTTTAAGTTCAGAGAATCATGCCAGAAATGACACCATTATGTACCCGTTTTATCGCATTTCCATAATTTCCGCAAAATTTCCGGTAATAACTGTTCGCATTCTTGTCGAATGCTCTAATACCTGAAGTTTGTTGGCATACCTGTACCCATACCCGGGACTTCGGGTAGCCCAAAAAAGAAGTCTGGCGGGGCAGACCGCTATCAGGTGATCTGGCTGGCCAGGCCAAATCGCCAAAATGAAATCGTGATGTGTGTGTGGTTGCACACCGTCTGGTTGAAACCACACATGTTTACGCTCACTTTCTTTTTTTTTATACGCAGGCAAAAAATACTGTTTACAAACGACGGCGCCTTTAAGAGGCACACCGCCGCATGGACCTCACACCTGGCTCCCGCAAGCCTTACAAGCCACATCAGTGGCTACCCACTGAGGACCCGGTAACTCTTACGGGCGCTTTACGGCATAATATACGCTAAAAAAACCCTGCGAATACCCTCTAAGCTGCTTAGCGCGAAGCCGCGGGATCTCCGTTTAGGGATTCTTCCGCGTCTTCGCACCTAGCAACCTCCCGGCCTAGCCAACACGCGGGGACCCCGACATGTTTACGCTCCTGCGGAGTATCGTGCTCCATTGCCTGTCTATTTGTATGCTGCATCAATCTACTTAACAAAATTAAAATATGATAGATGTACGACATTTATTTGCAATAATTATAACATCTTGCGATAGAGTGATTTCTGCTGCGCCATCATGTATCTATAAATGACAGCTATTTCGCATACACCTCGTTCGACGAGAAGCTCGATGGCGCAAGTGGTTAGCGCGTTCGGCTGCGATCGTTGAACTTAAGCAACTTTCGCAGTGGTCGGTCATTGGATGGGTGACCAAAAATTACTATCTCGAGCTCCTCCGTGCATCGGAAGGCACGTTAAGCCGTTGGTCCCGGCTGCATCTGAAGTCGTTAGCACCCACCAATCCGCACTGGGCCCGCGTGGTGGGTCATGACCCAATCTTCCTATTCCATCCATAGGGAAGGCATGTGCCCCAGCAGTGGGAACATTAATAGGCTGATGATGATGATGATTTCGCATACAACCACGCAACGTGTAAAAGTACTAAAAATCAAGTTACGTAATTATAATATCTTTAATAATAATATTATTAATTATAATATTATTTTACTTTGAACAAAACAGCCGCTTCATAAAGGTTTAATAATAACCTGAGGAACCTACAAGCGTGTTGTTATATATAACTAAACCTTACTTATCTAGGAACAAACTTCAAGATTCACTAAAACTGACTTTTCAGTTTGTTTCTTTAACAAGTTTCTGCATTTTCCTTGACTGCTTTTTTCACGTTTAAAAGAAAAAATGTTAAAAAAAAAGTACAAGCCAACCGTAATAGGAATACTGCAAGACAGGTAAATCGAGTACGTATCAACTTGTCCAGATTAGATCTTTACCCGATGCCTGTTTGAAGGTGTATTGCATCGTTAGGAGGCAAACTTAGAACTGCGATTATTTCGCACATTTGCCAAGCCATTTTATACTGTGTTGCTTTAATAATAAAAACATTGTAGCGAAAAATCCGCCGCGGTATTGACTATTGCGACAGTCGGTCCTACGGCCGAGTCAACGTTTCATACTTATAAACATTATACTTGTTGCGTTGCTTAGTCGCTGACATAGAGCTAGAAGGGAAAGGTTCGTGCTAAAACAGTATAGCACGTTAACTTTACATAGATAGATAACATAGTAAAGTGTTGTAAATACAAAGATCAATCGAAACCACAATAAAACAACGTTTATTAACATAATAACTGCTGTTAATGAGTGATGGTGAATTCAAAACCGAAACTTGACATTGAGTTTTCGCGCCCAGTGCCGTTTGAAAAAAGAACGCTAAACTTTTTTGTTTTATCGTATCACTAATCTGTGAGTGGAACAAAAGCAAAGTTTTCGCGGGTTTTTTGGGAAAAAAACTTTAGAGGCCACAGTGAAAACTTTTGTTTTTTTTTTAAACCAGCCTTGGATTGGGAGTGAGGTGCCATTATGCCCCAGATTTTCTTCAAAAAAGTGATGGTGGTGCAGGAGCGCGCCGAGGTGAGCCACTTTCACTTTCCGCGGAGTCGAGCCGTTCCGCTCCTTGTGGACTACTTGCTTTATTGGCTGGAACATTGTAAACACATTAGAATAAAATAATTCGTCATACATACTTACTGAGTGTGTGCGCTGTGCGGTGGTCTCGCTAGACTTTCATTTTGGTCACGACGTATTATTGTTGGTGCCTGACTTTCAATTGCGGACGCATTCAAATTATAAGTAACTACTTTCGCATAGAAAGAGCAATATTAAAAAAAAATATTAATAGTATGCTCTTATCTAATATGGCCCAGAACTCCGTGGTGTAGGGGATTTAGCCAGAGTAGGCGACGGCGTGAGTCATATTTTTGGTATCGCAAGCGTCTATACTCTATGGTGGCCGCTTACCACCAGGTGGGCCATTCGATTATTTGCCACCCTTTTAACATAAAAATAAATAATTCTCTGTCATCAATAAGTTTATGAGGAGCTCGATGGCGCAGGTGGTTAGCGCGTTCGGCTGCGATCGTTGAAGTTAAGCAACTTTCAAAGTGGTCGGTCATTGGATGGGTGACCAAAAAATCTTCTATCTCGAGTTACTCCGTGGTTCGGAAGGCACGTTAAGCCGTTGGTCCCGGCTGCATCTGCAGTCGTTTGCACCCGCCATTCCGAACTGGGCCCGCGTGGTGGGTTCAAGGCCCAATCTCCCTATTCCATCCATAGGGAAGGCCTGTGCCCCAGCAGTGGGGACATCATTGGCTGATGATGATGATGAATAAGTTTATGTCATCTAGAAGCAACTAGTAAAGGTAAATTTAAGCCCTTAACTCATTACAACACACTAAAGAGTTTTCATGTCTCGGTTTCTCGAAGTCAGACCGTGCCCATTTAGCATAAAAAATGCCATTGACAAAAGTATTCATTAGAATTACGAGAATAACATTAAGAAAGAACAAGAAAAAGAAGCCTTCGTTCCAACATTACTGATGGACGAGGTCTTAATTAAAGTTCACCGTATAATTTTACTTATAAAAAAAACCAACAATGTAGGTTGCAAGCCAATAGAACTGTCAAATCTATCGCAATCCAACTCAAATTAAAAGCAACAAAAACACACAATGCAATTACATTCGGAATGTTAATAAGATAAACTCGGCAAAATAACTGGAAGGCAAGAAATACTGATAGTGTTGGTACTGTTCTGAGGCGAAATTGCAAAATGTTCGCGACCTCGCAACTGCATACTGTTTTGTTTACTGCACTCACTGTTTGTAAATGTTCCATTTTTAAAGATGAACGAACTTGAATTCGTTTAAGTACTTCAATGAGTTCTTATTTCAAAAGTTCGATTTTTGGGTGAGAATGGCTGTAGTGGCATATTTTCTGTTGAATCATTTTCACGGCTGCACTTCGTGTTTGGGCCTCAGATAGGAAAATGAGATAAGAAAATTAATGTCATCATCATCAGCCTATTAATGTCCTGCTGAGGCACAGGCCTTCCCTATGGATGGAATAGAAGTTTGGACCATGACTCACCACGCGGGCCCAGTGCGGATTGGCGGGGTGCTAACGACTGCAGATGCAGCCGGATCCAACGGCTTAACGTGCCTTCCGAAGCACGGAGGAACTCGAGATAGAAGATCTTTGGGCACCCTCTGAAAATTAATATTAAAGTAAGACTGTTCTATCTTGGTATAATACCTATCAATGAAATTACAAATGGCAAATTTTCAACATTCTCGTAGTATACCATCAAGGTTTTGTTCAAATACCGAGGGTCAAACAGAAATGTTGTGATCTTTTAAGTATCTTTGAGTTAACGCAGTGTTGTTATGATAATTTGTGCAGCAGACATAATAATATTCTCCATTATAATTTTCAACTTACAATCACTGCAATTTTGCTGGGGACGTTCATATTATTAAAACAAAAAATTAAGAACTCTGTAATTGTCTGTTACACTTCCGCGGATGTTAAGAATTAAAATTTACTGTAAAATACACTTTATAAAGTTAGATAGGTATAGTTTAAAAAAATAGCCCATTTTTGATTAATCGGATTCTATGGATTAATTTAATATTTCCTTTATTTTACTAATACCTACACCAAACTTGAAAACATATGTCTCATTTTCAGTACTACAATTTGTTTATTTTAAAATCAACAAACAAAACTTTTTAAACTACTTAAGTGATTTAAATTACAAAAATAGACGAGTTCCAACGTTTTCCATTTATTTTCATTTAAATTGTTAAAATAAAGTTAAAGCCAGTACTTACGTTAAAATAAATTATGAGTTTTTAAAAAACCCTTAGTAGTTTCTGTCACGTTTCTACAAAGCTAAACTCAATTTGGCAATCATCTCTTCTTTTTATTCTACTGAGCATGACAAGGATACATTGATGAAAAATAGGGACCAATATTTATGCATTCAGATTCTGTTCGACATAACAATTGGGTTTAATTAAGATTGAGAATAGGATATGAAAAGTAATTGGTAATGTATAAGCTTCCCTGAATCAGGTAAGACATCGTTTTGTTCCACACAAATCACCTAAAATTCCAGGTGTTTTGAAGTAAATGATTTCAGGTCAGATTCTATTCATAATCATAATCATCACACTAATATTATAAAGACGAAATTTTGTGAGTATGTGAGTTTGTATGTTTGTTACTTCTTCAGGTCTAAACGGCTGGAGCGATTTTAATAAAATTTAGTATGGAATTAGCTGACACCCTGGATTAACACATAGTAGCCTATGTTTTACTGCGGGAAAATATCCCTAATTAACCGCGGGTAACACCGTGGGTCACAGCTAGTAAAATATACTTGGAACTACACCCAATACGCTACGAAACTACCGACGGCTATGATGACAGAAAAATCTTACACATATTTTCGAATAGTCCGTGCCGTCCAAAAAAGAATTTCGTTCCAAAAAGAGGTCTTATACTCAAACATGGTTGATAGCCGTTTAGATGACAGCCATTTATTGATGAGAGGTTATAATAGGACAGTAGTTCTTAGTAAAATATACTTGGAACTACACCCAATACGCTACAAAACCACCGACGGCTATGATGACAGAAAAATCTTACACATATTTTCGAATAGTCCGTGCCGTCCAAAAAAGAATTTCGTTCCAAAAAGAGGTCTTATACTCAAACATAGTTAATAGTCGTTTAGATGACAGCCATTTAATGATGAGAGGTTATAATAGGACAGTAGTTCTGCGCCGTTAGTCAACGAAGTAGAGCGGAACGGCCCCGTTGCGCAACGTCTCTTTTGATACGTTACAATGTGATTTCTAACAGTAGGTACGAGTGAGTGTGATTTATACAGTGCACACAAGCAGTCGCTAGATGGAGTCGCAGTTCATGCGTGTAACTGTGATGGTATTCTGTGCACTGCACTACTAGGTAAGAGATATGTTAGGGCATCAGCAAGTCCATGACCAGTTTTAGGCCGTCAACGAGAACGAGATTTTTGAAGGGGAACTGATTTTCTGACGGGGTTTAAATAAAAAAATCCTATAAAAAAGATGAT